TTTATGCACCAAGAGCTTGTAACACTCCAAAGAGAAAGGAAAAAATGAAATTGCATCATATGACCCCTTTAAATGCTAATGCTACACACCATGTGCTTGTTTGTGTTTATGAGTGAGTGGCTGCTGTTTTCAGACTAATTTGCTGTGGTAGCATGAATGTAAATGAACAGGAAGTTCAAGTACAAATGGATTTTTTCAATCAATAAGTGTTTTTTATTTTGTTTCATGTTAAAGCGGTATCGATCGCGTAAAATATGACATTTCCTAATTTAGATGTCACATATTTATGAAACGAGGAAAAAAGTTCCGGGAAAATAAAAGATTTAATCGCTAATCATCATATAAATCCTGCTAAGCTTTAAGTGTCTTTTAATCTGTTTACTGTGATAATGGCAAGGATAAAGTATTTTAACTGTGCACTGTTTGAAACAACAGGTTAAACATTACACATTAATAGAGCGCAGTGGATTCTGTACATTTCAAATGAATAATAAAATGTGACTGCAGAATATTGTGACTGACCAATCAGAATCAAGAATTCATTGAACACCCAAGTCCTACTAACTGTGAGCTAAAGTTTATCGTATAAAAAAAATCATATTCTGTGTTAACTATTCTTCAAGGATGATAAAGAAGCTAAAAATGTAACCACTGTCTTTAATCAGAGTGCACTCCCCTTCCCTCCTCTGTCTGTCTGTGGAATGCAGAGGAATGTGTTCTATCACTCTGCAGTGACTTCCTGCAGTGTCATACATTCTTTCATCCATCTGCAGAAGATAGGATTTGGCAGCGCTGAGAAGAAAACTTTCTGCCAAATGTCTGCTAAAGCTCATTTCTAGCTCATAAATAGCACAAGACGATATATATATATATATAATGTATATGTGGGTGTGGGTGTGTGTGTGTGTGTGTATATATACAGGTGCATCTCAGTAAATTAGAATGTCGTGGAAAAGTTCATTTATTTCAGTAATTCAACTCAAATTGTGAAACTCGTGTATTAAATAAATTCAATGCACACTTTTTAATTGTGATGATTTTGGCTCACATTTAACAAAAACCCACCAATTCACTATCTCAACAAATTAGAATATGGTGA